TCGTATTGTTTTCTCCCGTTGCAACGCACGGGCTCTTTTGCTAGTATTTATTTATAAATTTCTAGGTATAGATAAGTCAGGATACACAACCAATCTCTTAGGCACCATGTCTATAACTTTAGGCTGGTTGTTTTGGATGTTTATAATACATTTGGCTAGCCAATATTTTAGTCAAGCTTTTTCTTGCCCATGAGTTGATTAAAATTGGCTAAAATTTAAACTAGAGTTGCCAAATAGTCATGGGCAAATCAATATATTGGCAGCCATCCAAACAAGCACCAAACCTTTGGTTATGACAAAATTAGGAGTGCGGAATGGTTTACCCTCAGAAGATTTATTTTATACAGTAGGTATTGGTAACCATCCAAACTCATCGGACTCTTTTCGTAGGTGTGTCTGTGGGACACACCATATATATGAGGCCGTAAGAGCATCTAGAATCGGAATTCCCTCCCCCCTAAACGCTAGGGCGGACTACCAGGACACCGCCCAGACCGAATACACACCCACTCGGACCATCAAAACCAGCCCATACTTTCGGGCTGTCCAAAATGCTCATGCCTGACCACAAGTGGAGATCAGGCGGGAGATGTGGCATGTTGAGGAACTTCGCGCCATTGAGGCACGTCGCGTCACTTGTCTTGTGCGGAGGAGGAGGAGGAGACAAAGGCATGCATGGAGCTTGAGCCCAACAGATTTGGGATGGAGGAGGCATAGGAGCAGTCCACCTCGCCCAAATTGTTGGAAATATGCCCTAGAAGGAATTAATAATGTTCTTATTATTTATATTTCCATTTTTATAATTAAGTTTATATTTTCGTGCCACAATTGCAATCGTTTGTTATTGTGATATTCGTAGAAAAACCTATTTTCATGTGTGAAAAGATAAACATCAATCAGATCCCTAATCAAGCGTCTAGGCTAGATCACGTATTGTTGATGGTTCTATTTTCCTAACCATGAGCATCGTTGATGTAACAAGAATGTTAAAAGCAATTATAACACATTGTTAGAGTAACTATAATGTTGGATAGATCCAACTTACAAAATAGTACAAGATCACGTCGACAATACATTGTCGGTATTTTCATATGAAGTGTCAACATTTTTATTCTTTTAATGTTTACTTAAGTCCTTAGACTATGAGAATATCATAAACCCGGATGACAGATGATTATATTGGGCTACAAAATGTCACCCCATAACTAGATGGTTATAAAGGTGACTTTCGAGTATACCTAAAAGTATGTTGTGGTGTTTGATACGTCAAGAATGTGATTTGCTCCTATGGCGATGAAGATATATACTCAGGGCCCACTCGGTATTACAATGCCCATCATCGCTTGGCCAAGCATAGTGATTAAGGTGTTAGCAAGGGCACATAGAAATACGGAAACAAGAAAGGTGTACAAACCGGTAACAAGGATAACAAAGTATAGTAATCAAAGTGTTGATCACGAGGATACACTAGAAGTCTCGCCTCAGGTTTTGTAATGTGTCACAAAGAGAAGGCAATTTTTTCTGTGATATAAAATATTCACTTGATAAAATTCGTTGGTAATGCGGGAATCATTATGGGTGTCCAGATCCCAATAATAATTATTGAACAGAAGGTGTTCTGGACTTATCGGCATATTATCGCACATGTAGGATCACACGCCTAACGACTAGTGGTGATGTTTTAGAACTAGGAGATAACGGAGAATGAGCTCTAGAAGTGTTCCAGATGATACCAGAATTGTTTTGGGAGGTCCTGGGAGTGTCCTAGTGATACCATGAAAGTCCCAGAATATATCAGAATGCCACGAGAGCTTTTGAAAGGTTCCAGATCCTGACGGAATATTCCGGAGGGTTCTTAGAGGCCGCTCCATGCTGGAGTTGTAGGCAAGCCCACCCAAGGGCCCAAGTCGGCCAACACCAGGGAAACTTGGGGGCAAGCCACCCGGGATAGAGTCCTAGGAGGACTCCACCACCCAGGTCGGCCGACCCAAGGAGGGCCTCCTCCCAAAGTGGGTTGCCCCCTTCCCCCTATGTGTGTGTTGGGTTGGGGGGGAGGTTAGAGGCACATTAAAGCACTGGAGGCCGGCCCGCCACTACGACTCTCTCTCTCTCTCTCTCTCTCTCTCTCTCTAGACTTGTTTTAATCGGTACACCGCCAGGGTGCCTCTCTCACTCTAGTTTTTCCTCTATAGTTCTTTGTGATGTTCCATGAAGTATTGCAGTATCCTTAGACAGGGACGCGTGGATACCTCGCAGGTTGGATCTTCCATAGAAATTCTCGCAGCTGGGTGGTCTAACCTAGTTGTAGGAATCAGTGAGCTTCACCAACTCTTCTTCCTCTACTTCAGTGCGTAGATCATTGTTGAGATAATCATTACTAGTACCTCCATAGTGTTTCTGAGATCTATGTGCGCGATTTTTTTTCTTATGTAGCATGTTCCCCTACTAAAGCCGTGGAGGTGGAGCACCACATGGTTGAGGCCGAGCACGCGGGCAATGGCACTTTGCCGGGCTTGTTACGGATCCTGGCCTCATGGCCGAGAACCATGCCATCATGGAGTCGATCCAGTCCTAGCGGGAGGTGGTGGCAAATCGTCGCCTTATCCACCTCGCCAACATGAGGAAGGAGCGGCTATTCGCGGACGCCGACAAGGAGGAGGAGGCGCTGGAGCTTCACCCCGCCGCAAATGACCATGAGGCCGGAGGCTCCAGAAAGGAGGTCATCAACATTTCCTCGGACGAGGAGTAGCATTAGTGTAGTCTCTATTGAATGTAGCTCGTATTAATCTTTGTATGAAATGTCTATGATGAAACCTACGCGTTCGCAGGCGTTTAGGGGTCATATTTGTCCAGCCCAATTGTAGATGCTCTAACTTGCTTTCGTTGCCTATTCACAAAAAAAAAGGAAGAAACAAAAACCTTGCTTTGGTTGCCACGATGATCAGGGGCTATGGTAGACTAGTACAGTCGATTCGATCGGGTGTGAACCACCACCACTCTCAGTCCAGGTTGATAACACCCGTGCCACAAGCCTACAAGGTACACACATACAATTAGCTTAGCTAGAGGGTTAGCGGCAACTGGCAAGGAAGCAACAAAGCACGCACTGTGGAGGCCATCATCAGCCCTTAAGCCGGGCCAGGTCAGCGGTCAGCGCGGCGAGGAAATTCCACGAGCCAGACAAGCTCTCTCCCAGCGATGGAATGCGACCTGTGCCGGCACGTCGACGACCTCATCGTTCACGGACGGATCGAGTCAATCACCGCAACGCGCGTACGATAAAATATGGCCGGACAGGTTGGTGACAACTGACAGCCGTTCAACCGATTTCCACAGACCAACGAACAAGTTGCACCGGCGGCCGGTCTCATCTCATGCCAGCACTACACATGCTGTAGGTGCCATGGAAAATGGAAACCGAGAAGCAACTAATACTGGTCTATTATTGCGCCAAACTGCCGGGCAGTTCTGAGAATCTTTTGTGTATATAAGAGACGAGTGTGCTTGGTCCATTGCATATCCAAATAAGGGGGAAGACACCTCAAAGATACACAGACATAAGCGAGGAGGATGGCAAAGCAAGGTGTAGACGTCGCAGTGGCGCTTGTCCTCGTTGCCCTCGCAGCATTTCCAGCAGGTATATTTAGCACACGATATTAAGTGCTTCATTTGTACGTAGTATTTGGGCGGTGATTACATGCTGTACCTAACACAAAAAAGCAAACTCATTAGCTCTTGCATGCCGCATTTTTATTTTGTTTGCCAGTGCACTCCATCGGCGTCTGCAACGGCGTGCTGGGCAACGACCTGCCGGCGCCGAGCGACGTCGTGAAGCTCTACCAATCCAAGGGCATCAACGCCATGAGGATCTACGAGCCGGAGAGCAACGTCCTCAAGGCGCTCAGCGGCACGGGCATCAGCCTCCTCATGGACGTCGGCAAGGCGCTACCCAGCCTCGCCTCCAGCCGCTCCGCTGCGGCCGCCTGGGTAAAGGCCAACGTCTCCTCCTTCCCGGGCGTCTCCTTCCGCTACATCGCCGTCGGCAACGAGGTCATCGACAGCGCCAGCCAGAAGACCATCCTCCCGGCCATGAGGAACTTACAACGGGCGATCGTGGCCGCCGGCCTCGGCGGCAGCGTGAAGGTGTCGACTTCTGTGCGGTTCGACGTGGTCACCAACACCTTCCCGCCCTCCGACGGTGTGTTCAAGGACCAATCATTCATGGGGCCCATCCTTGAGTTCCTGGCGAGCACCGGCGCACCGCTGCTGGTCAACGTCTACCCCTACTTCGCCTACGAGAAGGACCCGCAGAACATCCAGCTCAACTTCGCTACCTTCGTGCCAGGCAGCACCACCGTGAACGACAACGGGCTGACATACACGAACCTCTTCGACGCCATGGTCGACTCCATCTACGCCGCGCTGGAGAAAGCCGGCAAGCCCGGGGTTAAGGTGGTCATATCTGAGAGCGGGTGGCCGTCGGACGAAGGTTTCGGGGCGACGGCGCAGAACGCGCGGGCGTATAACCAGGGGTTGATCAACCACGTCGGCAACGGCACGCCCAAACGGCCCGGGCCGTTGGAGACGTACATTTTCGCCATGTTCAACGAGAACCTGAAGGACGGGGAGAAGAGCGAGAAGCACTTTGGGCTGTTCAATCCGGACATGTCGCCGGCCTACTCCATTACTTTCTGAATGCGACAAGCGCTGGATATTTTGCGTTCGAATAAGCTGCCTGGCAATGCAATTGCAGACTGCACGCGTTTCAGTCAACCACTCGTGTGTGTTATGTCTTCTTTCCTTAAAAATGTCCCATAAAACACGTCAGAAATGAAAAGAAAAGGATTGAATTCCACTTTTTTACATGCCATATTTTACTCTCAATTTTCTGTGCCGATTTTGCCCCGTATATTCATTTTTTCAGTTGAGACAGCGCACTTTATCAAATCAACGAGAGTGTTGGGGATACAAATGTTGCTAGGACGATCTGAGAGCCACACATGGCGTCCCAAACCCAAGCTAGTAGCCATTTTTTCAATGTTGTGAGCTTCAAATTATGCTCGCGCTGGAACCTCGTTTGCGACTCTCCGACAATCAATGGCCAAGTAAATCTTGCGCATCGCCATATCTTCTGCCAAAGCTTGAGCTTCTCTCCATGCATAGGCTTTAAGAGTTTCTGGATCGAGTACTCTCTTGGAAATCACCGCGGACGCCCCCTGAAAGACCCCCTGGTCATCTCCACAATTCACCCCAACCGCACCTCGGATCTGAGTCTTCGCTACTGCCGCATCGGCATTCAATTTTCCAAACCCTTCAGGTGGAGGCGGGCTTCCACACACTAGTTGGTCTGGGAGCCGAAGGCTTGCTCCTGCATGGCGTTACATGTGCCGACCACACCTCATCAAGGTATCTGGCAATGAAAATGTGCGTGGACAGTGGGCTTTGGAACTCCCCTTCCTGTATTGCTTTCCGCCGCGCCCACCAGATAGCCCAGAGAGTAACAAGAACCAGAATCTGATCAAACATGTCGGGCAGGGGACGCCCAAGAAGCCCGGGGCGATAGAGGCCTGCGTGTTCGCCATGTTCAACGAGAACAGGGAGGGCCTGGCTGAGATCGAGAAGCACTTTGGGCTCTTCAACCCGGACAACCCGGACAAATCGCCGGCGCACACCATCAGTTTCTAAACGCACGGCACACGTCGATACATACGTACTTCCTCTCTATGATCTGCTCCCTTCGTTTCTAAATATACTCCTTTTTAGATATTTCAATATGAACTACTCCCCGAGTTCCTAAATATAACTCTTTTTAGAGATTTCAATCTGGACTACATATGAATGTATGTAGACGTAGTTAAGGATGGCAATTTTATCCATGGTACGGGTACCGTGGATACCGTACCCGCATGGGTAGGGCATGGGCACAATTTTATACCCATGGGTATTATCCATACCCTACCCCTGTACCCATGGATATACCCATACCCTACCATTTATACTACATGTTATTTGGTGAAGTGTGTCGTGAGCTTGTGAACATATCTTAAAGTTGTCACCCAGTGTCAATTTGAGTTGATATAATTGTCATGTCTCATCTATCTGCTAGTGAGTTAAGATAAATTTTTTTTGTGAACTGTGCTATCGATGAATGTAAAATTATGAAGAACTTGTGTACTATTTGCTCTACCCATTGGGTACCGAATGGGTATGGGTACCCGTCGGGTATGGGTACGGGTAAAATTTCGTACCCATGAGTACGGGTATGGGTAGAATTTTGTACCCATTCACTACACAAGTATGGGTATGATATTGCTCTACCCGCCCCATACCCTACTCATTGTCATCCTTAGACGTAGTTTAGAGTGTAGATTCACTCATTTTGCTTCGTATGTAGTCCGCATTAAAATCTCTAAAAAGATTTATATTTAGAAACGGAGGGAGTACATATAGAGACATCCGTATGTAGTTCATAATGAAATCTCTAAAAGAGGTTATATTTAAAAACAGAGGGAGTATAATCTAAGCGATGTGATACTAGTTTACAGAGGGGGTACATAGCAAGGCAACAAAGTTTTTCTTAATTTTCCCAAAAATATATTTTCTTGCTTAGCTAAAACAAATAATACGGTGTGCTTTGTACTTGAACTAGCAAAGTGGCCCGCTCTTCGCTCGGGCTAGTACATAATACGGTAAGATTCAAATTAGTTCATATTTGCCAGTTCTTTGGCTTGGTCATGAAGTGCTGATTTTAAGGATATAACCCCTTTAATGCTTCGGGGAAATATCTGAAGGCTATGGTGTCGCTGTTTTTTTTTAGTATTGTGTGCTCTTAACCAATTGTTTACCTCATGCGGCTGCAGCTGATTTTTTTTAGTGCTACGTGCCCTTAACCACTTGTTTAACTACTGCGGCTGCAGTGATGTATACATGGTGTACGGCTAGCTTTACAATGCCGTTGAGGTGTTCTAAAGTTTCTTATTTTTAGTATATATTGTTTTCCTTTGAAGCATCATATGCATAAGATTTGCATCAATATGGGTGATTTTGTCATTATTTTCTAATTTTCTCAATATTCCCACATGTTAGCATAGATTTATTTAAAAAATGTATCACCAAAAGTTACACAATTTACGCTAAATGTACGTAGATGCATTATACTGTTTTCCTTAGATGTGTACACTAATCATAGGTGTTTTTTAGTAATTCATAGCTGATTTTTAGAACAATTCATAGTTGATTATTTCTGTTGTTTGTAGTAAAATAATTTTTTGGTACTTCAATGATTAGTTGAGCTTTTAGCCCAATAAACTCACGTGGATGCACACAACGTTCAGGCATCTCTCACACCTTCAAACAAATGCTGGTCTTGCCTCGTCCCCTTTGCCACATTTCTCTTTACCTTACTTTCTCGGTTGACTCCTGAGTTGCTGTCGTCGGCTGATGCCCGGCTACTCATAGAGCAAAGACACCCTCCTCTTTTCTGTTGACTACCAGATGGATACCACCGTCTAATGTCCAGCTACGCAAAGAGCAACGTTCATGCTGTTGCTGATTCATTCTGCATGGATGTCATCTCCCGTAGCTAGCTTAGATCCCGATTGAGTTCATCCCAAAGAAGCGGATGTGGAATTGATCCCTTGAACATAGGTTTTTCTTTCTACAAAAATAGATTTGGATTTGATAATTTTTCTTTGTAGCTAGGCGGCGGCGAAGAGACCTCAGATCCCGAAGCAATACCGGCAGCGCTATTGCAGAGACTCGTTGTGATGGCCACTACATGAGGTCGAAGACATTGGGGACGGCCGTTTCGTGTGTTTTTATTTTCTGAGGGGCGACAACTATGATTTGTATTCTAGGATTGAGTGACACGTATGGTTGGATAGCTTTAGTCTTTTTCTTATAAAGGAAGGTTTTCAGGTAATCGTTTTCTTTAAGTGCACGTAATCTTCATTTTGTGATTGACCCACACGTACATGCTATGGATAGCTGCATTTTTTTTCTTTTTGAGATTGAGTCATCTTAGATCTAACCAACTAATTATGTCTTTTAAGTTATAGATCCATCAAATTAACGACTCAATGTTTCTAATTATTAAGGTAATTTCATCTGCACTTTTTTATATATAATAGATAGATGCACAATCTAGTTCTATATGCGGTGTCTAAATTGAACTCAACCTTGACGTGAGCCTGTTTTATTTTTGTTCCCGACAGAACTTCATGTAGTTTGCTTTTTTAGACGTAGTTTACTTTTTTTTCTTCCATTTGTTTTATTGATGTACGTGACTTTTGTTTCAAAACATTAGGCAGGGTATGTGAATTTTGTTCCAAAAAATTAGGCAGGATTTTGGGCCACACGTATAGGCTAAGGATAGCTACAGTTATTTTTCAGTTTTTTTCTTGTTGAGATGGAGCGGTGTTAGATCTGATCCATTAATTATGTCTTTTTAGTTATGGTCCAGCAAATCAACGGCCGGTTGTTTCTAATTATTGTGGTAATTCTTTTACATGTACGTGAAGCTACCTTTTTTTAGTGGGTGTACATGAAGCTAACTTGATTGCAGTTGGGGCTGATGGGCCTTTGTTTTTGGCCAGTATTAGGCGCCGGCGCACCGGCCCAATATTCGGCCGGTCAAGTGCCAGCCCTCCGATTAGAACGCTGTCAATCGTCAGATTTCTTCTTCTTTCTTCCTCGATGCAAACCGGACCCCAGGCGGCTGCAGCGGGAGA